ATTACAATAACATTGGAATAACTGGGAATAATTCATAAAAATTTGGTCTCGAAATGAGTAATTGACAGCTTCAAGTGACTCGAAATGTGTAATCGACAACTTCAAGTGACTCGAAATGAGTAATCGGCAACTTCAAGCGACTCAAAATGAGTAAAATGACATATGGTTGCCCATCCCTGTCAGTCAATTCACAAATGTCTAACCTAAAAATTCGTTTTTCATTTCTCATAAATGCGATAAATCGACTTCAAGTATTAATGTTTTGACAAGTGCAAAGTGTTTATTCATTATAAACAATTATTTTAATTGATACTAGCGTCATATTTCTCGCTCGCTCGGAAGACATTTTACTTATTTATTTCCACTTACATAAATTTTTATTATTATACATTATTATTATAATATTTAATTTTTATTATTTACTTAATAGCATCTTTATTGTTAAATTATTATATATAACTATAATTTATTTATTTAAGTGACAACGGACTTACAAAAATATAATTATATATATATATAATTATAATTACCTATTATAATATAATTAAATAATATTAATTAAATTGATTCAATTAATTTTAAATTATTGTTATTATTTTCTATTGTTTAAATAATGTTAATTTTTTTATGGCAAAATTAAACATTTTCAAATAATTATTTTCTATAAACCCTCGTTCGGTTGTATTTCAACTTTTTTGCTTTTATTTATTTGATTTAAGTAAATATTTACTTGAGGGCAGTTCCATACGAAAAGCAAATGGTGGATAACCGATTTTTCTTAAATTTGGTAATTTTGTAGTATTTGGGATACTAAATAACTGTGCCAAATAGTTTTGCAAAAAAAATTTTTTTTTCAAGATATTTAGATTTGAAAAATTGGTAACTGAAAAAATGATTTTTTTTTGAGAATTTTTATTTCAAAAACTATTGATTCTACGAGAAAAAGTCATTTATTCAAAATTGTAGAGAAAATGTGAATTTTTTATAATATTAAAAAAAAAGTTAAGAAAAGTTAAACTTTCAATAATTTGTTTAAACAATAATTTTTTATTGTTAAAAAAATATGCTAAGGACATCATGGAATTTCCTAAAAAAATTATTTTTTAAAAATTTAAACCTTCTTTAATAAGTGGTTAAATTTTTAAAGTGCTTTTTGATGTTTTTTAAAAAAAAATTTTTGAAGTTTGCGCTACGAGTTTTTGTGCGTTGCGCTAACTAAGCAGCGCCTATATCAGTGTATTTTAAAAGTTGATATGACATTTACTGCTCTCCCCTAATACATTTATTAATTATATACGTATATATTATTATTATAAACAGTTTAACAATATATTTTTAACTTTTTTATAAACATTATTTTCCTTTTTTAACCCATTAATGGTCATATGGGCACAGGAACGCAGATATAAAAAAGTAATTATTGGGATCCTGACATGGGGTTTAATGATATTTTTTGACGTTAAAAATTTTGTTTAAAAAAAATTTTTTAAACAATTTGATATAAACAAATGAAGAAAAATTGATTTTCCTAAAAAACTGATAACTCCATTCGATTCTACGCAAAAAATTACTACGAAAACGTATATTACATAATTTTAAAAAAAAGACATATTTTTGTAAAAATGTTATAAACAATTAGCCTGCATTTATACTGTTTGAGGTCTAAGGATAGTTTTTGAGGTAAAAATTTTGTTTAAAAAATTTTTAACGTCATAAACTCTCCTGATTAAGCTAATTTTGTTTAAAAAAATCTTTAACTTCAAAAACGATCCTTATACCTCATACAGTATGAATGCAGGCTAATCGTTTATAACCCAGATGCGAATTTAGGTTGGCCGCCAGAGTTTGAAGGTTGGCCCAAGGTTGGCCTAACTTTGGCAAGCGAAGTTTTGGTTGCCAGAGTTTGCCCAACTTTGCCAAGTACTAGTGCCTACAGTTGGCCCGACTTTGCAAGCCAACCATTAAATGCAGAGTTTAACCAACCGTCGGGCCAACTTTGGCGACAAAGGTTGGCACAACTCATCAAAACGTAGTTTAAAAGACTTTCAGTTTCGGTTGGCCCGACGGTTGGCAAAACTCAAGAAAAACAGTATAATTGACTTATAGTTTTTTGGTCGGCCGAACTCTGGGCCACGGTTGGCCCAACGGTTGGCAAAACTCTAGAAACGCAGTTTCATTGAGTTAAACTTTCTTGGTCGGCCAAACTCTGGGCCACGGTTAGCCCGACGGTTCTCTCTAAATTTGAATCAGCGAAAAGTCGCTGATTCACCAGCCCAGAGTATGCAGCTGATGAAATAGCGTATATACACTGATAAAACAGCGTATATGCACTGATTTTCCAGCGTATATACGCTGTTTCATCAGCTGCATACTCTGGGCTGGTGAATCAGCGACTTTTCGCTGATTCAAATTTAGAGAGTTGGCAAAACTTTGTGAAACGCAGTTTAATTGACTTACATTATTTTGGTCGGCCGAACTCTGGGCCACGGTTGGCCCAACGGTTGGCAAAACTTTGTCAAATGCAGTTTAAATGACTTAAACTTTCTTGGTCGGCCGAACTCTGGGCCACGGTTGGCCCGACGGTTGGCAAAACTATGTCAAATGCAGTTTAAATGACTGAAACTTTCTTGGTTGGCAGAACTCAGGGCCACGGTTGGCCCGACGGTGGGCAAAACTTTGTGAAACGCGGTTTAATTGACTTGATTTTTCTTGGTTGGCCGAACTCTGGGCCACGGTTGGCCCAACGGTTGGCAAAACTTTGTCAAATGCAGTTTAAATGACTTAAACTTTCTTAGTCGGCCGAACTCTGGGCCACGGTTGGCCCGACGGTTGGCAAAACTATGTCAAATGCAGTTTAAATGACTGAAACTTTCTTGGTTGGCAGAACTCAGGGCCACGGTTGGCCCGACGGTGGGCAAAACTTTGTGAAACGCGGTTTAATTGACTTGATTTTTCTTGGTTGGCAGAACTCAGGGCCACGGTTGGCCCGACGGTGGGCAAAACTTTGTGAAACGCGGTTTAATTGACTTGATTTTTCTTGGTTGGCCGAACTCTGGGCCACGGTTGGCCCGACGGTGGGCAAAACTTTGTGAAACGCGGTTTAATTGACTTGATTTTTCTTGGTTGGCAGAACTCAGGGCCACGGTTGGCCCAACGGTTGGCAAAACTTTGTCAAATGCAGTTTAAATGACTTAAACTTTCTTGGTCGGCCGAACTCTGGGCCACGGTTGGCCCGACGGTTGGCAAAACTATGTCAAATGCAGTTTAAATGACTGAAACTTTCTTGGTTGGCAGAACTCAGGGCCACGGTTGGCCCGACGGTGGGCAAAACTTTGTGAAACGCGGTTTAATTGACTTGATTTTTCTTGGTTGGCCGAACTCTGGGCCACGGTTGGCCCAACGGTTGGCAAAACTTTGTCAAATGCAGTTTAAATGACTTAAACTTTCTTGGTCGGCCGAACTCTGGGCCACGGTTGGCCCGACGGTTGGCAAAACTATGTCAAATGCAGTTTAAATGACTGAAACTTTCTTGGTTGGCAGAACTCAGGGCCACGGTTGGCCCGACGGTGGGCAAAACTTTGTGAAACGCGGTTTAATTGACTTGATTTTTCTTGGTTGGCAGAACTCAGGGCCACGGTTGGCCCGACGGTGGGCAAAACTTTGTGAAACGCGGTTTAATTGACTTGATTTTTCTTGGTTGGCCGAACTCTGGGCCACGGTTGGCCCAACGGTTGGCAAAACTTTGTCAAATGCAGTTTAAATGACTTAAACTTTCTTGGTCGGCCGAACTCTGGGCCACGGTTGGCCCGACGGTTGGCAAAACTATGTCAAATGCAGTTTAAATGACTGAAACTTTCTTGGTTGGCAGAACTCAGGGCCACGGTTGGCCCGACGGTGGGCAAAACTTTGTGAAACGCGGTTTAATTGACTTGATTTTTCTTGGTTGGCCGAACTCTGGGCCACGGTTGGCCCAACGGTTGGCAAAACTTTGTCAAATGCAGTTTAAATGATTTAAACTTTCTTGGTCGGCCGAACTCTGGGCCACGGTTGGCCCGACGGTTGGCAAAACTATGTGAAACGCAGTTTAATTGACTTACATTATTTTGGTCGGCCGAACTCTGGGCCACGGTTGGCCCGACGGTTGCAGCTTTAATATACATTTTGCGTTATGCACTCCCATGTGAGCGTAGCGTAGTGGTCAGTGTATAAGTCTTCGGTGCGTTAGGTTAGGAGGTCGATCCCAGCGAGCGTTAGATATTTTCGAAAATGTATGTATGAGATTGTGTTTAATAATAATAGGTAAAGGTTATATCTGATGTTCCCGCTAATAATAACCTGTTAATTGTTTAAATAATTTAGTTTTTTAATAATTTTTTACCTTTGGCTGTTGAAGTTGGCCAAACTTTAAAAATTGTGGTTGGCCCAACTTACGCATCTAAAGTTGTGCAAACTTTGGCGTCAGTCTTTGGACCAACCATTGAAATGTATAGTTGGCACAACATATGCATTGTAAGTTGGGCCAACTTCCTTATGAGTTGTCGGGCCAACCATCGTTGCCATTAGACGGCGAACCGTTATCATCTGTATGGTTGGCCCAACCTCTGGCACGAGAAGTTGGACCGACTTTGTAAAAGTTACCATTACTTGACTACTGAATTTTTTTTTTAAGGGGCCAGAGCGACTTTAATGTATACGCTACTGCCACAACTTTTCGACTCCCTTATGGCCCCTCGCCCGCCCCATCTACAAACGACGTAAACAAGTGACCACTGATCGGGTGACCGCTGATCGGGCTTGCAGTGTATTCATAAAATGAAAATTTTTGTGAAGAAGCAAAGTTATCAGGAAATTAAAACAAAAATTTCAACATATTGCAGCAGTTTTTATATTTTTATTTATAATAATAATGTAATAAATTATATTTTATATTGTCAACGGCTTTTATTTTTTTATTATTATTTGTACTGAAATGACCAAAAATTGTTTAAAAATATACGTACTTGGTATGTTGTAGAAATTTCCAGATGGTGAGCGTATTAAGCAAGATGGTTCTAAATCAGGATCACGTTCATGATCACTGGTAGTTTGATTTCCTGGTAACCTTCCATTAAGACGGCTCATTGTCGGATTTCGGGGGGGTACGTTGGGTGGTCCTCGTGACGCCGTACTGTCCAACATACACCCTGTATTGCAGAAAATTATATAATTATATTAGTTTTTTATATAAATAATTAAATTTTCAAAAGTTTGTTTGATGTTTTGTCCCATATAATAAATTTAATAATAGTTTAGTGATTGCCATTTTTTTAGGACATCAAATGTGTATAAAACATTTACGTTTCGAAACCGGTACCGGTCTTCTCATCAGAATTTATTTAATCTATAAAATAATACATATTCTCAATATCACTCATATACTTAACTTTTAATTTTTAACATAGCTATTTTAATTTTTAGTTTTTTAAAAAAATTTTAATATTATTACATACCATAGAATATGACTAGAGCTGTGCAAAATTCGAACCGAACCGAGTTTAGTTCGGTTTTGGGGCGCCGAAATGTCGAATGTCGAATATTCGACATTCGAACTAGAATGTCGAATATTCGACATTTTAGCGTACTAAAACCGAACAAAACTCGGTTCGGTTCGAATTTTGTAGTAACTCGAATGTCGAATATTCGACATTCGAACTGGGCTAGTTCGAATGTCGAAAAACCGACATTCGAACTAAGCTAACTCGAATGTCGAATTTTCGACATTCGAACTAGGCGAAAAAATTCGAACAGTTCGGTTCGAATTATTTTGCACAGCTCTAAATATGACATAATTTAAATTTGGGTATGAATGTGAATGAATCCCAATGCAAAAAATGCAACCTTATTGTTATTACATATGGGGCATTCCAGGCCAAATCGAAAATTATTTTGCTTTTGCATCTCAAAATTTTTTTAAACATTTTTTTCTTTTAGTACTCTTTGAAATGAGCTACCTTGATTTTTTTCAAATTTTTTCATAAAGCGGTTCAGGAGATACAGATTTTTGAAAAATGACGTTTTTTACGTAAATTTTTTCTATAAATGCTTATAACTCGGTTAAAAATTGATCAAATTGGACGTTTTTATAATTAAAAGTTTTGTTTTCACGCGTAGTTTTTAATAAAAATATTTTTAAATAATTTACGATAAGATTTTTAAATTTTTAAAATAAAATTTCATTTTTAACAATGTATGTATTGATCAATTTTTTCAAAAATTTTTGTAAGAAACTAGCACTAAATTAACAATTTTCCAGCCTTGTCCGATCGTGGGCAAAAGATGGGATCTATTTATTTTGTAATTTTTAATTTTTATATACACAGTGGTGGCCAAATGACTAACTTGCCATTTGACAAAATAACACAAATTTTTCACAGCAAATGTGTTTTCAGACTGAGTCTCTCTAAACTTAACCTTCTTTCTGTGTAAAATTGTGATTTCGTCAAATGGTAAGTTAGGTCTACCGTTTTCACTGTGTATATAAAAATTAAAAAATTTTAAATAAAGAGATCCCATCGTTTGGCCACGATCGGACAAGGCTTAAAAATTGTAAATTTAGTGCTAGTTACTTACAAAAAATTTTGAAAAAATTGATCGATACATACATTGTGAAAAATGAAATTTTATTTTAAAAATTTTAAAATCTTATCGTAAAGTATTTAAAAATTTTTTAAAAATATTTTTATTAAAAACTACGCGTGAAAACAAAACTTTTCATTATTAAAACGTCCAATTTGATCAATTTTTGACCGAGTTATAAGCATTTAAAGAAAAAATTTACGTAAAAAACGTCATTTTTCAAAAATCTGTATCTCCTGAACCGCTTTATGAAAAAATTTGAAAAAAATCAAGGTAGCTCATTTCAAAGAGTAGGGTGATGTGGGGTGATGTGCAACGTTTTTTTCCTTTGGACGAAAAACATGTCAAATAATTAAATTTTTAAATATTTCAAAATTGAATGACTTAGAGGCATTATAATAGAATATTCCTGCATTATTAGATTTTCAGAATTTTAAATTTTTTCTACAAATTTTTCGCTTTTTCAAAAACGTCTGTTTTTGCATTTTCCAAAAAAGTTGGGGTGATGTGCAACACCAGTAAAATTCAGGTATGAAATGCATAAATATCGATGAAAATCTCTTTAATTATTAATCTTAGGCTTTTTCAATGCAAACTAATCGAAATCTACAAAAAAAAAATTTATTAAGGTAAGTTGACCTCTAAAAAGTGGAGATTTCATCAAAGAAGAAAAAAATTTTTTTGTTTAATTTTTTATTTATTCATAACTGAATAATGAATATAATTAAAGGAAAATAACTAAGCATTTTCTATTCATCATGTGAATCGCAGTAATGTCACGTAAAAAGTAGTTACGTCCACCCCAAAAAAAAGTGTTGCACATCACCCCAAATATGATATTTTGCGAAAAATGATTTGTACGCTATACAATGCAATGGAAACACAAAATATAAACAGATATTTAAAAACACTTAAAAACCAACAATAAACACATTCTTATCTATAAAATAAATTAAAACCCTTTACGAAACGACTAGAAATGTAAAGCGCGAGAAATATTTCCTTCTCGAAAAATTTAAGTCAATTTACGTACAGCAAACCTTGCTGCGAGCTGTCTCGTGAGTTTTATATCAAAAACAAATGAGGACACAAACAAATGGCAATACTTGGCTCCGTTCAATATCGAACTGTAGATCAGAAATCGGCGGTGTTGCACATCCCCCCATGTTTCACATCACCCCACATCACCCTTCTAAAAGAAAAAAAATGTTTAAAAAAATTTGAGATGCAAAAGCAAAATAATTTCCGATTTGGCCTGGAATGCTTCATATATTGGTCATACCAGATGTTTTTGGTTAATTTTAAGAAATTGCTAATATTTTTGCAACAGATGACCATCATGGCAACATTTATATATATGACCAATATATGTAACAACAATAAGGTTGCATATTTGCATTTGGATTCATTCACATTCATACCCAAATTTAAATTATGTCATATTCTATAGTATGTAATAATATTAAATTTTTTTTAAAAAACTAAAAATTAAAATACACTACCAGCGGAAATTGTGCGACCGTTAACACTTCGAGCTATTAAAAAACACACCCGCACAGAAACAGTGATAATTCCGTCAAAAATAAAGCTAGATGCTTTTTTCAAATTGCATCGGAAAGCTTATTAAATTTCCAATAAAATTACACTATTTTCATTTGTTTTGCATAAATAGGAAGCGAGATATCATGTTATAAACACAGTAGTATATTGTACAACAAGTACAGAAAGAAGCTGTTTTCCGACGAGTGCAAAGTTTGCTTCTCCGAGCGAAGCGAGGGCAGTAATTTGCACGAAGTCGGAAAATCTGCTTTCGTACGTGTTGCACATAGTACTTTGTGCAACACCTGTTTACCGAAAAAAGTAATTTTTATACTTTTCTAATCAATAAATATAGTTTTATGTTGATTATAGTGTATATTATACTGTTTACAGAAAAGTGTGCAGGAAAGTACACTTTCCTGCACACTTTTAAATGTGCAGAAATTGACCACTTTGTGCTGCATTTATGTTAAAGAAAAGTAGCTCTTTTCCAGCAGGTGTTGTACAAATTAATTTTACCAAGTACATACACTGCCGTCGGGAATTATCGGTACGGCTGCACGAGCACGGCCCAAAAACATACTAATCTTTAAACCACGATTTTTTTGTAAATACAAATGTCAGAAAATTGACAAATATACCATTCGAAAGATGCAGGAATTGAAAAAATTTCAACAAAAATTATATTTTTTAAAATTTCTTGTCAAATTTGTCGATTGATGCAATCTTTGTATAAATTATTAAAATTTTCAGTTATGTGTCATTAATCGTAAAATTTAATAATCTTTCGAATGGTATATTTGTCAATTTTCTGACTTTTGTATTTACAAAAAAATCGTGATTTAAAGATTGGTATGTTTTTGAGCCCTGCGCGTGCAGCCGTACCGATAATTCCCGACGCACCGAAAAAAATGCCTAGGACCCGTATACCAGGAATTGACTAGGTTTCTAGTTACGAGAGGAGCCAACTATAGAATCCTGGTCAAAGTAATAAGATTCAAGCATAGTTAAAGTGACCAGGAAAATTAGTCGATGTAATCAGGAAAAAATAGTCAAATTGACTAGGAGAATAATATTAGATTTACACTGTGTATCATAATTATTTGAAATTGCTAATCAAATTCTTATTATCAAATAAAAGAGAAAAACTAATTAAAAGAAAAAAGAAAAAAATTAATTATTGTATTTGAACATATTTATATTTGACTTTGTATTTATATACCTTAGAATAAATTTAAACTTATGAAATAAATATTTGACGCAGGGGAGACGCGAACACCTGAACCTAACGAATACGCACTTTGAAACCCGGAACGATAACCACTACACTAAACACTACTTGGTATTTTAATTTTTTAATAGACACTAGATTTTCGAGTCAAAATACAATACTTAATCAGATGATGTTTTATACATTTCGAGTACACAATTTTATACACTTGTCAAAAACTATTTATTTTTAATTATTTATGACATTCAAATGAAAATAAATTTAAATACACAAATTATTGCAAAGGTAAATTTTCAAACACACTGCGCGATTAAAATAGTAAAAATGTTGTCACCACGTGCGTAAAAATTTCGACGATTTATATTGAAACCTAACCAAAAAAGTCTGAAAGAATTGACTAATATATAATTAAATAGTTTACTTTCTAAAACATGGACTATCTATATTTACAGAGGTTCCGAGAAACCAGCAATTTTGATGTATGTAAGAACTCCATTTTATGTACAAAAAATAGACGCGAGTAATGATAAAAAATCGTTTTACGAAATCACGATAAATGACGCGAAATATATAGAGGTAAACACTGTCAGAACAGAAGCAGACGCGTGCGCATTATGGAAATAGGCAAAATTACTAAAATCCTAGTCAATTTGACTAGGATTTGCAGGGTTGTTTTTGCCAGGCTTGAATTTGTTGAATCAACCTAGCGATCCTAACCATAATGATTAGGAATCCTTATTACTTTTACTAGATTAAGATTAACTATAGAGTCATAGTTAATAATACCATCGAGATTTT